TATAAGACCGAGTGTTGGAAGAAGTACTTGTGAGACCGATGTGGTCTGTTGAACAAGTAGGTAGGTTATATTTTATGATGACAAAAGAGTTTATAGAAATCTCAAAAACAAAATTAAATTGGATCTTTATGGGAAGCAAAGTGTTGGTTTTAGACGAATTCATAAAAGACCTCGCAAAAAAAGAGATTTCAGTAGGTAACAAGTAAGATCTTGAATATAGAAATTCACCGTCAATTCATTATAGGTGTTGTATTTTGGGTTTCACTCAGCACGTGGTATTGGTATCTAAGATCATAAACATAGATTTGATGTAACCATAAACCTCAGTGGTAAGAACCGAGAGTCTCAAGGATTACAGTTGTGAACCGATAGCAGATGGAGAATAGTATGAGGATGGTGAAAGAACCGAAAGTAGCTTCTGCTATAAAACATGACAAAGCAGAGAAACTCTTAACTCATATGAGAAGAGTAAGGTAGCTCTAGACCGAAGTAGATAAAAACAGCCTGATTGGGAAGAAACGATAGGTATAGATCGAATCATTAAGGCGTTGCTCTAAGTCGTAGAGGCTTAGGTTGACATGCAGCAGCATGCTTCTTGGGACCCTTAACTAGTTCATAAAATAAGCATCATACCTGTCCCAGCTCCGAACTCTGTTGTACTTTTATTCTTGGAACCTATTGAAAAGAATGAACAAACACACACACGACACAAACAAAAAACAAAACAAAACAAAAAAATACTTTTGGATTTTTAAGGTTTTCTGAAAAAAAAAGATTTTTGAACATTTCTGAAAAATAAAAGAAAATAATAAGAAAAACAGAAAATAATAGAGATATACATAATATCCAACCGAAACCTTAGTGTTATTGGCTGAGGCGAAACATACCAAGTGATCGGTTCACTTTGGTTCCGTAAAATTCCAGAGCCGAAATAGACCGAGCGATCGGTTCATTTCGGTTCCCGAAAATTATGGAGCCGAAATTGACCGAGCGGTCGCTCCATTTCGCTTGTCCAATTTTAAGGCAAGATTTGAGGATTCGGTATTGATTCTACTTCTATCATACCCAGACCTTGTAAAATGTTATTAAAACATGCTTCATGTAAGGCCTTGGTAAATATGTCAGCCAGTTGATCAGAGGATCGAACAAAATGCACTTCCACATTCCCATCTTCAACATGATCCTTGATAAAATGATATCTAAGTGCAATATGCTTAGTTTTGGAATGTTGCACTGGATTGTGACAAATGCTTATTGCAATTTCTGAGTCACAATGGAGAGGAATCTTCTTCATGTTCAGCCCGTAATCTCTTAGCTGACTTTGAATCCATATAACTTGAGAAGTACAAGAGGCTGCAACAATGTATTCGGTTTCTACCATTGAAAGTGACGCACAGGTTTACTTTCTGGACTGCCAGCTAACAAGTTTTCCGTCAAGAAATTGGCATCCACCTGTAGTGCTTTTTTAGTCTAGACCACACCCTCCAAGATCAACATCAGAAAAGGCTTGAATAAAGAACCCTGATTTGGCAGGATAACAAACAGAAAACATAATGTCCAGTCTACTAGCTATTAGATACATAAGGGACCCCATCATTTGCCGATAAAGTGTTATGTCAACGGCAGGTTTCTCCAGAGACGGTGCTAACTTAGTGCCGAATGCCATAGGAACCTTCACTTTAGAGTCACCTGTCATGCCAAATTTTGTTAACATGTTCTTTGTGTACGCTTCGTGGTTGATAAAGATGCCTTCTGGACAATGTCTAATATTTAAACCAAGGAAAAAATTAATTGGACCCATTGCGTTCATTTCAAATTTAGTCTCCATCAACTATCTGAATTCAACTGTTAAGCTTGGATTTGTAGAGCCGAAGATGATATCATCAACATAAATTTGAACGATCATTAGATGTTCAACTTCTTTCTTTCGGAAGAAGGTAGGGTCAACCGAACCTTGCTTAAATTTTGACATTTTTAGAAAACGAGTGAAGGTTTCATACCAGGCTCTCGGTGCTTGCTTCAAACCATAAACTGCTTTATTCAGCACATAGCAATGATCAGGATATTTCTCGTTCACAAACCTAGGAGGTTGCTCAATATACACTGTTTCTACTAGTTCTCCATTTAAGAAAGCACATTTGACATCCATTTGGAAAACTTCAACGTTTTTTTGGGCAACATATGCTAGGAAGATTTTTACTGATTCCAACCTTGCTACTGGAGCGAAGGTTTCCTCATAATCTATCCTTCCTCTTGGCAATATCCTTTGACCACCAACCGAGCCTTGTTGCAAATGACGTTCCCCTCTTTGTCCAATTTGTTTCTAATGGCCCATTTCAAGCCGACCATAGAAGCATCCTTTGGTGTGGGAATCAGCCTCCAAACTCGGTTACGTTCGAACTCATGGAGCTCATCTTGCATTACTTGAACCCAATTATAATGATCAAGCGCAACATTTACTGTTTTCGGTTCGATTTTGGAGATAAACGAATTAAACATACATAACTCAACTTTAGAGAATAATGTAGTTTGTTTCGCTTTTAATTGAGAACGAGTAAGATCTTTCTCAGAAGATTTGATCCTTGGTCCATTTCAGTAACGGAGGATAATTTGGGTCGTAAATCGGATCCAATTCAGCATTCACTTCTTCTTCAAATTCTGATTGATCACTCTCGCCTTCGTCAGTTGCCTTTTCTTTCTCCCCCTCGACTGGCGAAGCGTAACCCATGGTAGCATTGAAGTTTGAATCCTTTGAAAGAGTTGGATTCTCCCCCTCAAATGTACCTTTATTAGTTGGGGATGGTGTAGAATTCTCCCCCTCGAAAGATACATTGGATGTTATTGGTGTGGACGAACTCTCCCCCTTGAACGTTGAGCCATTGATTTGTGAGTCAGTAGAGGATTGAGCACTTGTAGGTTTAGGAATTTCACTTTCCATTTCCTTTGCATCATCATCAATGATCTTTTGGCGATTTTCAATTTTGTTATCTGCCACTTTCGCCTCTAAGTACGTTGCTTTCTCCGGTTCATCGAATAACCGAATGTACTCCTCGAACAAGTTATATATAAGAACCGAGACTTGTCCTGATGTGGGAAAAATTTCCCCTAAGTCACTTTCGCTCCTTTGAACTTTCTTCATGTAATTGTGATCAAAGGTGACGTAATAAGTTTCTTCAATCCATTTATTCAACACTCTGTAAGCTTTTGAGGAGAGTGAATAACCAAGAAATATGCCTTCATCAGCTTTAACGTCAAACTTGTTTCAGTTCTCCTTGGAGTTTAGGATGAAACATCTTGAACCGAACACATGGAAGAATTTGAAATTGGGCTTTCGATTATTTAAAATCTCATATGGAGTGATTGAGAATCTTTTGTTAAGAAAGGATCGGTTATGAGTGTAGCATGCAGTTGCAACAGCATCAGCCCAGAAGTATAGCGGAAGAAAAACGATACTGAGCATGGTTCTTGCAGACTCACATAAAGAATGGTTTCTCCTTTCAACAATCCCATTCTGTTGTGGTGTGTAAGGGGCTGAAAAGTTGTGAGTTATTCCCTTATCAACCGGAAAGTCCTCAAAGTCTTTATTCTTGAATTCCAGCCCATTGTTACTCCTGACATTTCTCACCGTCTTTTTCAGTTGAACTTCCACTTGCTTAATGAATGTCTTCAGCTTGGGAGTTGCTTCAGATTTCTGTTTAACAAAGAAAACCCAGGTGAAATGTGAAAAATCATTTACAATCACTACTAGAAAACAGACCATTAACGACGCGCAATTTATGACACGCTGTGATTTATAATACGCAAAAGCATGTGACCTAAAAATAATGTCAGCTCTCTAGAAATTTTAAGAATTTAAGACGCGTATTTTGGCATGCCGTAAAACTAGTGTTAGAAAAAAAAACACGGAGGACACTTATTATTAAATGTGCGCGTCATCTAAACATGTCGCTTTATAATTTTTAATGAAACGCGCTCTTTAGTTACAAGCGGGAAAAAGAAAAACCCCAAAATTAGAAAAACCCCAAAATTAGAAAAACCCCAAAATTAGAAAAACTTGCTTTCGCTTCCCTCTTTACCCTAATCGGTGATCCTTCTTTCCCATCCCTGGCTCCCCACATCGACCGCTAACTACTCCCCTCACACTCCGACCACCACTTTGAGCTCTTTCCTGGTCGTCGACCCTCTTCCATTGTTGACCCTCCACCAACGTTGCATCTTTTTCATCGTCTTCCTCAGCCATCGGCCTTCTTCAGTGCCTTCATATGTAGATTCTACGCACCACTCCTTCCACACGATCACTTTGTAATCGACGACTTGATTAGCGTCTCCTTACCTTGCTCTCTCTCACCTCACCTCGTTGGCAACTGCAGGCTCACCTCTAATCGCCGACCATTGAGACTCATCAGCACCGGCGACTGTGTCCCGAATCTGCTTCCCCTCTACATTACTCCACCTACTACAACTACTCATGAGCTTCTCTTCTACCTTGTTTCCATCAGTTATCTCACATATCCCCTCGTTCATCTCCGCCCCTCACCCATCTCCACCGTCTCCGCCCCTCACCGCCTCTTCTTGCCTCATAGCCCACACCTAACAACTTTGATTTGAATAAATTTAAGGAAGTAGAAGTTGTTCAAGAATAAATTGCAGATGAAACCCTAATAGCATTATGTGACAACGCAAGAAGATGATGGCGTTGGAAAGCAAGCGTTCTTGGTTGTTTCCTTCTCATGCTCTGTACTTTTTTCCAGGTATTTTAATCCTTTCTGTAAACCCGATCTGCAATTAGTTGTTGATACGAGTTTCTAAAAATTATAAGAAAGGGGAATCAAAAGTTCAAAAACATGTTTGTAGTTACAGAACCCACATCCCTCTGTAAAACTTAGAATTCTATCAGAAAATCAAATATATTGAACATAGCCAAATTAAATTTCTTGGAATAGCTCAATCCCATACTTACATGTTCTTACAGTGTTTTCTTCTTCTTCTTCTATGTAGCAATGATTGCAAAGGTAGAAATTGCTGTGGTCGGTGTTTTTCTAGGATGGATTTATACACGAATCATACCACCACCTCCTAGGGTTTGTGGATCACCTGGTGGACCTCCTATTACTTCACCTCGAATCCAACTTAATGATGGAAGACATTTACCTTACAAAGAGTGGGGTGTCCCCAAAGATAAAGCCAACTACAAGATCATTGTCATAAGCTATTGCCCTCCAACTGAAACGAATCTATCATCTGGCAAAAAATTGGTAATGAGATGCTTTATATTTTTATCTTCTTCATGAAAGTCAACAAAAACTATTATATTCTATATATCTACATAAATGTGAAATGGAAATATGGAATATTGATTTTTATATTGTAGGTGGTTGTTGTCTACAATTCCCGAGGGTGGAAGAGATCTGATGTTATAAGACTTCCAGTGAGTATCATTTTAGGTTTTGAACTTTTGGTTTCATCTTAATCACTTTTTTTGGGAGAATAATAACAATAATAATATATTATGCGTATTATATGTGAATATCTAACAGGTTGTGAGCGAGAATATTGCTGTCCATGACTCGAATGGAAAAGAAGTAGAGTATCAACTTCTCCCCATAGTAAATGACGCTATTGCCCTTAGAAACTACTACACCACTACATATACAGGCAAATCACCAAGCTCAATTTCCAAGTATTAACTTGCATTTACAGCATCTGTTCCACCTCTGGGATTTACCACATACGTTGTTTCAATCACAAAAAAGCCAGGTAAAAATAAAATTAACAATATTTTACATAATATACATTGATTTTCGAATTTTGAATAGAATTTATCTAGTGATATAATTTATTTTTTGCAGCATGGAATTCTGTAAATAAAGCATTTTACAAGCATACTAAAACAGGAAAAGATGGGATAGAAGTAGGAACAGGAAATTTGAAGTTAATCTATTCTGGAAGTGAAGGAAAGGTTTCTCAATATGTTAACAGTCGAAGCTCTGTAAGTATATTTACCTTTTTTTTTTTTTTGTATAATATAGCAACCAACTATCTTATTTTTGCTAATGACCTAATTGGAAAATAAAATAGTTTATCACCCAAATTAGCAAAAATGAACCTATTTTTTGACGTTATATAAAATGTAGTAAGTTAAGTTATGTATTATTATTAGTATTGTTATTTATTCTTTTAATGTGCACTAACCTGTGTTATTTTGGTTTATGAAAGATCACTGCCTCTGTGAAGCAATCATACAACTTTTATGCTGGATTTGATGGAACTACAGGAGAGCAGGTAACTTTATTTTCCTTATCTCATTTATTATTTTTATTTTTTTATTTTGTAAATACAGTTATTGGTACAAGTTTTTTATATTAACAATTGAGCTCCTAACTTGTTTAATTTAGGCATCTGGAGCATATATTTTCCGTCCAAATGGTACATATTCTATTGATACATAGGAGCAGGTATATATTATATAATTTCTTCTGATATATCTATGTGTCTTATAGTTTATACTTTATAGCCAGATTTAAATTTTAATATTCTTCATTGAAATTACAGACTCCCATAAAGGTCTTGAATGGGCCAATATATGATGAAGTACATCAGAAAATAAATCCATGTATTTACCAGGTAATGGATAAAGTAGTGCTATATGAACTCATTTTTTTCCTTGTTGGACTAATTGAACTGTCTGAAATGACCATTTTACCCTTCTGTCCAGATCACTAGAGTGTTCAAGAATAAGGAGCATGCTGAAGTGGAATTTACAGTAAGTTCATTTTCTTTACTTGTCTAATTGTTGTTCATTACTGATAATCTCAAGTTTTTAAGGTGGGCCCCATACCTGTTGATGATGGAGTTGGGAAAGAAATTGTAACTCAGATCACAACCACCATGAAGAGCAATAAAACATTTTACATAGATTCTAATGGGAGAGATTTTCTTCAAAGGGTATTACTCCCATTAAACATCTAAGTAGGTATTTAAAGAAAATGTGATCAAAATTATATTTTTTTGTGGCAAATTCGAGACTATAGAGAGGATTGGAATCTTGAAGTGAATCAACCTATTGCTAGAAATTATTATCCTGTATGTTTTCTTTTTTCAATATCCATTATCAAGATAACTGTCATTTTGAATCAACATGCCCTTTGCTATTCATATTCAATGCTTTATTAATGGAAAATTTTTAAAGAAACGTTTCACAAACTTGTGTTATTTCTAAAGGTCAATCTTGGAATTTACCTAAAAGATGAAACTAGTGAGCTCTCGTTTTTAGTAGATAGATCCGTAGGTGGATCCAACATTGTTGATGGGAAATTGGAGTTAATGCTTCATAGGTATGTCTATTCTTTCCATTCGCATTTTCATCAAAATCAACAATCAAAAAAATTAAATCAGCCATAATATATATAAACACGAATAATCTCTTTTTTAGGAGATTGCTTTATGATGATGGAAAAGGTGTTGCAGAGGCGCTTAATGAAACAGTTTGCGTTGGTAACGATTGTAGAGGATTAACTGTAAGTATTTTCTATAAGTCAAATTGGAGAGGGTGCCAAGTGGCGCCGATCCTATGGTCAAGAAATATACTCTCCACTTCTTTTGGCGTTCACTGAGCAGGTGATTGAATATTTTTTGTGTTAAATGTTTCTTTAAAAATCCATAAAAAATGTTACTTATCAATTAATTTTATTATAGTTTACAGGACGAAAAAACAGGGACAAATTTCCAGGTGTCCACATTTTCAGGAATGGATTCCTCCTACAATCTCCCTGATAACGTAGCATTGTTAACACTCCAGGTAAACCATGTAAAAAGACGTAAATTCCCTCCTTCTTCATTAGAATCTTTGAAAATAGCCTACAAAGCTTGATAAAAAACTTTATTTTCTTAATTAAGGAGCTGGAAGATGGAAAAATTCTTCTTCGGTTAGCACACTTATATGAGGTGGTTGATCTTTCTTCTTCTTCTTCTTCTTCTTATTATTATTATTACATAAATTCATTTAATTGTGTTTTGAAACACGATAAAATTATATTTGTATATTTATATATTTTTTTTCTTCTGGCTCTAGGTTGGAGAGGACAAAGATCTTTCAGTTATGACAAGTGTTGAATTACTGAAACTATTTGCAAAGAGGAAGGTAATACACTACAACATGCAAGTTTCTTTGACACACTAAATAACATCTTTTTAATTTTTTTTTTGTACTTGATATGAAGATAAAAGCTCAATTGCACAGCCTCATGAAAAACAGAATTTACAATTTTGCCTCTTATACTCTCTCAACAATCTCTTCCAGGTTTTTTCTTCTCATCTGATTTACGTTCAAATTCCTTAGAATTGATAAATTTTGTATGGTTGATATGTCATCAATTGGGCATACTTTTGATAAGATATATTTTATTGTGGTATTGTGACTGATACCTACAAATACTTGTATGAATGTGCAAATATATGCATCAGATACGCATACTTTTGTGTTTGATTGTTTGTCATGTGTGCAGCAAATGTGTTTCATTGAGATTTAAAACACAAAAACATTCTTGCTAATTCTGACTGTAAACTAAAGATCTGTGATTTAGAACCCTAAAACAGTCACAAATAAGAAGATTACATATTTTTTCCTGGTTTCACTCCCAATGTGAAAACAGGTTGCACTACTGGGGCACAAGTGGTGAATCCCATGGTGTTCAATAAAAGGAACCAACACCCTTCTGTATAGTATGCTCTTTGATTCCTATAGACTGTTATTTATCAACAAAAAAAATCTTTTTGACTTTTCTTTATAACAAAAATGTTTTTCTTTCACATTAATAATGTCATAGATTAAGGTAAATGATGCAATCTTAGAATAGTAACTTCATTGTATTCTATTAGGATGCATTTAAAGATCTGAGAAGGGATTGCTTCCACAGTTTGGCTGAGAAACCTCAGTTTACTCTCTTATATTTCAGGTTCTAATTTCTATATCCTTCAGTAATTTTCTTTTTATACCCCTGGCTGAGATAAAAGGACTAATTCTAGAGGTTTTATTGAGCAGCTTTTGGAGTTGTAACATTGGCAACTGTGATTCTGTGCTTGCTATGGCTAGGGGTAGTTGATGGAATTGAATATCAACCAAGTGGAACTGCATTAAAAGCTAGAAATTTTCCTATAGTTGGACTAATTGGTTTTTTCTATAGATTCTATTTTTTGTATGACATTAAATTTATACAATGGATTCTATTTTTTGTATGACATTAAATTTATGCAATGGATTCTATTTTTTGTATACCATATTTTATTTTCTATTATGAAACATTAAATACAAATTTAATTTGAAAATAAGTAAATCTATAAATAATATTTTTTTTAAACATTTAAAATTATGATACGCAAAAATGTATGTCATCTTCATTTATGACATGGCCTTTCTTGACAGGTGTTTTCTTGATACGCATTGCGTGTCATTAACACGCGCGTCGTAAGGTAACGACACGCGAATGCGTGTCGTCTTCCATTATGACAGGGCCTTCCTGAATACGCATTGCGTGTCGTAAACGCGCGTCGTAATTGCGCGTCGTAAATGAGCGTCGTAAATGCGCGTCGTCTATAGACGACGCGCAAAAGTGTGTCGTCTCTCTTTATGACATGGCCTTCCTTGACGCGCATTTGCGCGTCGTCTGAGCCTTTTACGACGCGCAATGAGCGTCGTAAAAGGATGTTTTTTCTAGTAGTGAATTACAAGTATGTACTTACTACCGCCAATGCTTTCAATGGCCAAAGGTCCATACAAGTTAATGTGCAGCAGTTCAAGAGCTTCAACAATCTTTGTATTAATTCTCGTAGGATGACTCTTTTTTACTTTGTTTGCCCATCTCACACACTGCACATAGATGTTCCTTGTCAAACTTGAGAAGAGGAAGGCCTCGAACATGGTCACCAAGCACCAACTTATTAATGTCTTTGAAGTTTAGATGCGATAAACATCGATGCCACAACCATCTTTCATCTGTGTTTGCCTTTGATAGCAGACATATTGCTAGTTTTCCTTTTATTGGGTTGAGATTTAAGGGATACATCTCTCCCTTGCGATCAAACTTTAACAGAACCTCTTTCGCATGCTTTTCAATAATTTCAGAACCCTCATCATCAAATGACACTTTCAGACCTGTTCCCACGACTAGTTGTGACACACTAATGAGGTTATGCTACAATCCTTCCACATACACCACTTTTCGAATTGAGAAATCTCCATTTGTTATCATACTGTATCCCTTGATTGTTCCATAGGAGTTATTTCCATACTTTACACATCCACCATCTTTCAGGGACCAAAACTCCCTCAGCTCTTCCTTCCTTCCTGTCATGTGACGTGAGCAGCCACTGTCGATATACCATTCATCATCGAACTGCTCATCACAAAGTACCTGCAAATTCAAGCTGATTTAGGAACCCAAAGTTTGTTGGGTCCTGGTGAGTCTTTCACAGAAAAAGGAATCGCAGAAGAAATATCAACCAAAAATGTTCTTTTTATTAAATTGGTTTGATCTTTTCTTTTGATGGTATACACCTTAATTTTAGTTTCATCTTGTTTAAAGATCGGTGCATTAGTTGGTGTGTTGTTAGTTGGTTTGGGATTTTTCTTTTGAATCCTAGGGTTAGCTGACTTTTTCTTATCTTTGAACTCAAAATATGATGTTAGATTTCCTTTTCCCTTGACGTCCTTCACCGTGTTTATTTTTCACTTTGAATTGAAATCACCAAAACTAGTGTTGGGACCGAAACTAGACTTTCGGTCCTGTGGGTTGTTGTAAGGACCGAAACTAGACTTTCGGTTCTGAGTGCTGATGCGGGGACCGAAACTTGACTTTCAGTTCTTAGTGTTAGGATGGGAACCGAGAGCTGATGTTCGGTTCTGACTTTTGGAGTAGTAGGAATTTGGGCTGAAAGCTTCTTTTCCTTCCACTTTTCCCTTTCCCTTATCCCTTGACACTACCTTAAGAGGTATGTAGTGGGGTTTGGGATTCCTAGTGATGTTTTCGCTGATTCAAGTTCTTTGCATATCTTTGGTTTCTCAAGCATTTCTGTTCTGCTAACTCCTTTTGTGACTGTGGATATTGAAGCTAGGCTTTGCTTTCTGCTTTTGCTGTTCGGTTGTATTTGTTGGATCATTTGGTTTTGTCGTTGGTTCTTCAGGAATTTCTTTAGTTCCACTTGTGTTTGGTTTATCAAAGCTTGAGGGTTTGTTGATGGGGTTAGCAACATATCTTCCTTTAACCCTCCACAAAGTTTGCTCAGACAGGCCCACGATTTCGTCTGCGTTTTCAATAGGGGTAGACCAGACGTAATCGCCGCACCCTTCAGCATTGTCTTTTTCCAGTATGATTCTTAATTCTGCCATTTGTCTTGCAGTGACTCCTTTAGCTGCGTAAACTTGATTTGGCACCGTATGAACCTTTTGATAAACCAAATCCTTTTCTTTGAGTTTTTGTGGCTTGTCTTTTGACATGCGAGTAAATTCAACCGAATTTTCTGGAATGAGGGGTTTCTCATTCTTGGTTTCGCTCTTCATAAACGTTGAGCAATCAACAACATCTTCTACCGAGATTTGACTCATCTCACTTTCCTCATCAAATTCAGACGCATTATCTAAGTTCATTTTATTTTATGAAGTTAATTTAGCATTGGACATGTCAAATGATTGAATAGTGTCTGACTTTATTTTCAACCTATCATTTTCATCTAACATATCTTATAGCATACATTTATGTTCCTTAAAGTCAATGAAGGTTTCTATTTTGTCCAGTCCAATTTTGTAAGACACTGATGTCTCTTCTGATGACACTTCTGACTCACATTCTGCTATGATCTCATCCCCCTTAAATTCAACGAGGGGAAAAAATCATCTTGTGAATTTTCTTTCCTATCTCACAGCTTAAATGTATTTGAGCAATACTTGTATATAAACGCTTAGATATTAAACGAAAAACATTTCTTTGTTTTAAAAACTTCAAATTGTCTCTTTGCAAATAAATACTTTCATCCTTAGCCCTAACTAACTCCGCCTCCTTCAGCTCAATCCACATCCTTCTCTCCTCACTCTTTGAAGATACCCTGCTAAGTTGGTTAGTTAGGTTAGAATTCACTAAGCGAGTTTGCATGAGACTACCACTTAAGTTAGAGAATTTAAATTTTAATTCATTTAATTCTTCTTCATAATTTTTTAATGGAACTTTAAGTGATTCAAGGATGGATTGTACCTTTTTTATCAAACGATCGCATTCGTAGATCTTCTCACTGACAGGTTTAGCCGTAAAACACTTATTTTCAGTCAGGTTCGGTTCCACGTCTGCATTTTCAGTTGATAATCTAGCGGTGACCATTAAGCACTTTCCAGCCGAACCTAATTCTTTTTCCACATAAGCCTTCCCGTGAGTGGGTTTTCTCACTTCTTCATCTTCGGAGTCAGTTGACCACACTTCAACACCACCGAACTCATCTTCATCTGCACTCTCCTGCACAATCAAGGCATTCATAGAACTTTTAGCACTGTTAGTTGCCTTCTTTTTCTTGATTTCTTCCAGTTTACGTATATAATATGCCTCATCATCTTCACCGTCTCTTTTCTCAACCATTTTTCTCAGCATGCAATCTTTGGGAAAGTGGTTCTTGCCATGACAGTAATTGCAATCAAACCCAGAGTCTCCATCAAGCTTGCTCTCCTTCTTGTCTTCGTCCTTTTGCGAAGAAATTTTCGCTTCATCCTTCACCTTCTCTAAACTATAACTTCCTTGCCAATTTCGGTTTTTGTTGACAGGAAATTTTCTTCGCACAAACTTCTTCGGATTACTGACCATCATAGCATACTCTTCTTCTTCTTCCACAATACTTTTTCCTTTAGAAACAATAGCCAGTGAACCCACACCAAAAACCACTTTTGCTTCTTTAGTTACTACACTTTCACGGGACTTAAGAATTCCCACAAGTTTTGCTAGCGGGTAAGATTTAAACTGTTCATGTGCTTTTACAGTCGAAATCACTGCCATCCATTCCGGTCTGAGTCCGTTCATGAAAGTAACTTTCTGATCAATCAACTTCCTCTCTATTCCATGCTTGATCATCTTGCTTAGGAGATGATTGAACCGATCAAAAGTCTGTATGAGCTTCTCCTCAGGTTTGTTTTCGAAAACTCCAAATTCTGACAGCAGCAAGGTTTGAATGGAGTGTTCTAGATCTTCATCGGTCGAATAGAGTTCTTTCAACCTATCCCATATTTATTTGGCAGTTGTGCATGAACCAACCAACCGAAAAGTGCTAGATTGTAAGGCGAATCTGATCATTCTCATAGCCTTCACATTACACAAAAACTTGTCTTTTTCGTCTTGTGCCATCTTGTTTTCATCCGCCACCAGCTTATTATATTCCTTTTGCATCTTAACGATTGTGTTTGTTCCTGAATGAAAAAATGGCCCAAGTGTGATAGCCTCCCAGATGAGATAGACGTTCTCTTCTGATCTAACCACGTAGTCTTCAAAGTGATGTGCCCAAAATTCATAATCTTGAGTGTAAAGAATGGGTATTCTGGTTGTAGATCCAATGCTGTTTGAGATGTTGATGGGATTTGTTTGCGAATCTTCGTGAGACATGGTGAGCTCTTAGAATCAAACCTGTAAACTTGAGATTAGGGTCTTATCTAAAACAAAGTTGTTGTTAAT